GAGAAGCAGGCTCCCCGCTGAGCCGGGAGCCCGATGCGGGACTCGATCCCAGGACCCTGGGATCATGACCTGAGCTGAAGGCAGACGCTTAACCATCTGAGCCACCCAGGCGCCCAAAAAGAACATACTTTTAAGACATTAAAAAAATGAGTCTGTGAAAAACTATTTCCTCTAAGCATTAACAGTGTAATTATTACACATATAGAATGTATCTTTGTTCTTATTTATAGAATATTTACTGTTTGGCGTTTAGGACTAAGATTGTAGTGTTAAAAGATCTTTCTCAGTTCTTTTCAAATATTAAATGCTGTGAATCGAGTGATCTGATTACTAACATGGAAACAGTTCTTAATAAAATTACACACAGATTTCACAGATTTAATGTCTTCTTTTTTAATCAACACTGAATATTTTTTGTTATGTAGATTAAATACTTCTCCCTTTATGTTCCCATTATAGCTTTAGAGGCTGATGTTCTGGAATTATTCCTTTGGGAGGGGAAAAAAAACTTTTGTTTGTTTTTTATAAATAGGATGCAGGACAAAAAAGATTTGGAGCAGTTTCCTGTAATGTTTGTGGCATGCTTTACACAGCTTCAAATCCAGAAGATGAAACACAGCATCTGCTCTTCCACAACCAGTTTATAAGTGCTGTAAAATATGTGGTAAGTGGAGTTCATGACTTCTAAAATGCAGTATCAGATGACTAGGTCAGGATCTTAAAGAGATGAATTGCAAAATTTAAGACATTGAAAAATTTCTGTTTTTAGGAGGTGGTAATATATACAAAACTCTTCTATGTGTACCGGCTTATTTTAAAACAAAGTCAAACGTAAAACCAGCTAACTTTATTCTGCCTGGTTTATGTTGTGGGATTCTTTATTTAAGTTATATATTTAAAGCAGTTATTATATCTCATCTCTTCTAACAATGCTATCAACTTGAGTATTTAAAAATTTTTCTTTAATAATTATTAGCTGCTGATAAGCCTGTTTAATATTCATAATAGCTTAGCACAACTTTTTTTCTGAAAACTGATAGTGATGTATATTATACCAAATAGATGGTTTGGGAATTTTTCTTTACCTTCTTTTGCTATCATGAGAGTTTTTCTTTATAAAATTAAAAAAGAAAAATTCTTGAAGGTTAAGATCTCAGAATTTGCTGCATACTTAAAAAAAAAATCCCACAAAGTAAATATGTTTGAGTATATATTTTTGTATGTGCATTTGAGGCAAAATGGGTATTATTTAATAGTTATTTCTGGAAATGGCAAAATTTTGAATAATTTTGAACCATTTCAGATATCTTGTGAAAATAGTAATTTAATGTAATTGCTGTTTACCCATATCTGAAATGGAATCTATTTTTATTCTATACATGTTACCTTCAGTACTGTACACTCACATTAATAAGACCTCCAGGATATCTGAACTGAGATCACCAATTCATTTCATTATAGGCTTTTACATAAGCAACAGATGTTGGATTGTTTAAAGATCCTTATTAGCTTCAGTTAAATTTGTATCCTTATTTTTGGTTGAAGGGTTCATATTTATTGTTTCATTTATCCAGTTACTTCTACCCAAGATAGGTAGGGTTTTCTTTTTTCGTTCTCTACTGTGGTGATCCTTTATACTCCTTATTTCATCTGCCTTTTCCACACACACACCCTCTTCTGTCACCTAACTAAACGCAATATAAGCTGTGTGGACATAAAATATCTATAGCTAGATACTGATTTATTGTTTGAAATTTGTACTTTTCCACTTTTACTGTATTAATATCCTTACAACTTGAAAACAAAAATAGTTCTATCAGATAGCTAAATTATAGAATACTTGGGGCAAAAACATTTTATTCAATGTACATAAATCTGGTAGAAGTTAGTTTAAATGAGTTTTCAGTTTACATCATTTAATTCTTGTGATCACTTTTGTATTGGGTTTAAAAGGCTTAATTTTTCATCTTAAGGGAAGATCTTAATTTCTGAGAGTAACAGCAGAGAAATTAGTAAGGAAATATGTACTCTGTGCTTCCACAGTACGAAGGGAAGCTGGTTTATGGGACAAGATGGAGTCATCACCTTCTAAACAAATTCTGGCTCTTGCAAAGCTCTAAAACAATGTAGCAGTTTAGGGAAGATTGATTCCTGCCCCAGCCCTATCCTCCTCCTAATCCCCCCACCCCAACCTTGATGGGACAGAGCTATGGGTTATTTTATTATTTTTGAAATAAGCTCAAGAGAAGGAATTGAGTTTAGCAGTTGGCCATCCTTTGCTAACATCAGGATCAATATTCTTATTTTTTGCTATTTTCAAATGTAGGTATACATAGTCTAAAGTAGAAACTCCTCCAAAACATTGTAGCATTCTTCTTTACTGTATGGACAGAGGATAAAAACATATGTATTATGTTAAAGATGTTCTGCTGTGATCACAGCTCTGGATTTGGGGTTGGGACATTAAACATTTATTGGGCACCCAGTGTGGTGCTTTGCATTTTTGTACATTTAATGAGCAGCTAGTATTGTGTTTTTGGATTAAGCACTTTTTTTCTTTCTTATAATAAATTGAGATATAATTGAAGTTTAAGCACTTTTAAGGTGTTTGAGAAAACATCTAATTTTAAAATGTCAGTTTTACCTGTTTGTTTCCTAGAGAGAAGCACATAGAAAAGAAGTCATTTGGTGTTCTGGCTTTAATTAATTTTAAATGAACAGTGTTTGGGGACTGGAAATAAAGTGTTGATCTATTTAAGACTATTTAAAAATAGAATAAATTAGATCCCAATGAGTTTTACTTTTTAAATTTTAATCATACATTTTTAAGGAAATAAATAGCTTTTCCTTAGGGTAAAAATTTTCCTTTAGACATGGTAATAATCTGTAACAGTTAAAAATGGCTAAAGATCTTTTCAAAAGATTAAAATCATATTTAAATTATTTAGTCATCGTAGAAATTGATGCCCACAGAGCCTTTTTTTTTGGCTGGTTAAAATATTTTTTTTCCTTATCCTCTTTGGTAGGAGAAAGAGTGATGATGTTCTCTATTCCTTCATAGCACCCCATCTGCCTCATTGATGCCATTTGAGGAAATGCATTTTATCTAACTTATTAGAAGCTATTTAGGAAGGAGCTTGTTAATGCTTCAGGAGGAGCCTGGACTCTGGTTTAGACCTACAGACACTTCAGTTTCCCTTGATCATCTGGGGGTACTCTTTGCTAAAGGTATGAAGAGAAAGCAGGAAGAACTCCCCCTAGAACACTGAGGAATGTTGCCAAGCCTGGAGCCTATCCAGAATTCAGCTATATTTTGAACTTTTAGTATGTAGCCAAGGAATCATGTTTGGGTTCTTTGCAGAGAAATTTCTAACTTAATCCTTTTTTCCTCCATCCTTCCTTTTCTCTCCTTTGAATTAATTAATATCTGACTGAATAAAAGCTCTGTGGAGGGCTCTACTCCAGGGTATATGATATGCCCTTGCCTTCAAGGTTAGGAGCAAAGCCTGAAAGAAATGAAAAGTTAACAATAAGAGATTTGTTAAAGCAGTAAGTCAGTATTAATTATTTAAATTTAATTATAAATTAGCTTTACAATTTAGAAGTGATAATTACTTTGGTGGAGCAGTGATCAGAAGGATTTGTTTTCATGGGTGAGGAAAAGTTAAGATTTGATTTTTTTTTTTTTTTAATGGACAGACACAAGGAGGTCATCTATTATTGATAGCATAGAATAGCTAATGAGAAAGCTTAACATCTTTGTGGGGAATAATGAGTAAATTTTTTTTTTTCTTATTGAATCAGAGATTTGGTAAAAAGATCAGAAAAATGCATCAGGTCAGATTGTGATACTTTGGTTTTGATGCCATTTGGCCTTTTTCTTTCTTTTCTTTTAGATACTGAATTTTGAGCATTGTGAATGATACAGTTAAGTTTAAATAATGTTCAATGTAGGCAGAAAAACAGTATTTAAAAAATTTTTAAATTTATTTATTTTTTTAAGATGTTATTTACTTATTTTTAGAGAAAGAGGGAGAGGGGCAAAAGGAGAGGGAGAGGTAAAGGGAGAGAATCTCAAGCAGGCTCCATGCTGATCTCGGAGCCCCATGTGGGGCTGGGCATAGTCTCATGACCCTGAGATCATGACCTGAGCTGAAACCAAGAATCAGATGCTTAATTGACTGAGTCACCCAGGCACTCTGAGAAATAATACTGTAGTGAAATAAAAGGAGAGAGTAGTACATGTAGTGGTGTGTGTGGTATTGGATTACTATGGCATTGGTAGAAATGGGGAAATTGATGACAAGAAAAACTGAAGAAAGATTTGACAGATTCCTGATTGGCTATAGAGCTATACTCTCCAGTATCATGTACTAAACCATCAAAATAAAAATGCTGTTCCTCCTCATGGGGATGAAACTACAGCATAGGGAATATAATTAATGGTATTGTAATAGTGTATGGTGACCAGTGATAGCTACACTTGTGAGCCCTGCATAATTATGGAGTAGTTGTATAGATTTGTCGAATCACCATGTTGTATACCTGAAAGTCATGTAACACTGTGTATCAACTATACTTCAATAAAAAATAAAAGAGATATTGATATATATCTCAAAAAGTGCTGTTCCTCACTCACACTAGCCAGTATTCAGTAGTCACATTCATGTCTTGCTGGAGGCTACTTTATTAGTTAGTAGGTGTAGAACATTTGTATTGTCAAAGAGAGTTCTCATTAGTGCTGCTACAGAAAGCTGAGTCAGGGACACCATGATCCAGGAACTCCTACTTCATCTTTGATTACTTTAATGTGAAATTTGAATATGTGTTAACGTACTTCTACATACTTTTTCTATATTCCTTTTGAAGGTGTTAGGAAAAAGGAAACTGGGTGTTAAAGAAAGGAGAAGTAATACAGCAAGAATAGAGATTTTATTTATTTTTTAAAGATTTATTTATTTGAAAGAGCAAGAGAGCACAAGCAGGGGGAGGAAGGGCAGAGGGAGAGGGAGAAGCAGACTCCCCACGGAGCAGGGACCCTGACCCCTGGTTCAGTCCCAGGACCCTGGGATCTTGACTTGAGCCGAAGGCAGACGCTTAACTGACTGAGCCACCCAGGTGCCCCAGGAGTAGAGATTTTAAAGTCTTGGGAATGGGAAAGGAATCTGAAGCAAAGCTGCACTGGTCCTTAGAACTGTACTCTGGCATCACTGGGGTATAGGGAGCAAGTATATTTGTAGGAGGGACTGATGGTCTGAGTTACATCGAGTTTCTCTGCTTAAAGGTAAGCCTATCATACCCTGTGTTGAAAATTGAGAAATAGTCATTAGAAACAGGTAGGAATTTATTACATAAAAATTACCAAACATTTTATATCTCAAGTTTTTGTTTATCTTTTCCCTGACTCTGATTTTTAATTTTTCTACTTTGTTGTATCTTAAAGACTGAGAATATTATGATATATAAATATAAGATGGGAGCAGCACTTCCAGATCTTAGTCAGAAATTAATTTTGCTTTGGTATGGAGGGCCACATAGTGGAGGAAAAATGCCTTTAGAATGAATGTTACATGCAACAAGTTTTTACATTTTTTTTTTTTTTAAGATTTATTTATTTGACAGAGAGAGAGACAGCGAAAGAGGGAATACAAGCAGGGGGAGTGG